AGAAGGCTCTCTGTCTCATCTATCAAGGATTAGATGAAGACACATTCGAGAAGGTTGCCGGAGCAAAGATGGCCAAAGAAGCATGGGAGAAGCTTCGAACTTCTTACAAGGGAGCAGAGCAAGTCAAGAAGGTACGTCTTCAAACTCTAAGAGGAGAATTTGAAGCATTACAAATGAAGGAAGGTGAACTTGTCCAAGATTACTTCTCAAGAGTTCTAGCAGTTACTAATAACCTAAAGAGGAATGGGGAGAAGCTAGATGAAGTAAGAATCATGGAGAAGGTTCTTAGATCGTTGGATTCAAATTTTGAGCATATTGTCACTGTCATTGAAGAGACGAAAGATTTGGAGGATATGACAATGGATCAACTACTAGGATCACTACAAGCCTATGAAGAAAAGAAGAAGAAGAAGGAAGACCTTGCAGAACAAGTACTCAAGATGCAAATTGATCAAACCAAAGATGGAAGCGGCCGAAGTCATCCAAGAAGAGGTGGCGGTCAAGGACGAGGAAGAGGTTGTGGTTATGGAAATGGACGTGGCTGGAGGTCCTATGAAGACAAGACTAACCAAAGAGGAGAAAGCTCATCAAAAGGACGTGGGAGAGGATCTCCAAAACCAAGGTACGACAAATCAAATGTCAAATGCTATAATTGTGGGAAGTTTGGACATTATGCTTCTGAATGCAAAGCTCCAAACAACAATAGAGTTGAAGAGAAGTTCAACTATGCTGAAGAAAGAAGCCAAGAAGAAGATATGTTATTAATGGCGTACAAGAAGGATGAAAGAGATGATTTCCACAAGTGGTACCTTGACAGCGGTGCAAGCAATCACATGTGCGGGAAAAGAAGCATGTTCGTGGAGCTCGATGAATCAGTGAAAGGAGACGTGGCCTTAGGAGATGAATCAAAGATGGAGGTGAAAGGTAAAGGAAAAATTCTTATCCGAATGAAGAATGGAGATCATCAATTCATCTCCAACGTTTACTATATTCCAAGTATGAAGACCAACATCTTGAGCCTTGGACAACTCTTAGAGAAAGGTTATGATATTCGACTAAAAGATAATAGCCTTTCTATAAGAGATCAAACTAACAATCTCATCACCAAGGTACCGATGTCAAAGAATAGAATGTTTGTTCTTAACATTCAAAATGACATCGCAAAATGTCTTAAGATGTGCTACAAGGAGGAGTCTTGGCTTTGGCATCTTCGTTATGGACATCTCAACTTTGGAGGCTTGGAGCTACTCTCTAAGAAAGAAATGGTGAGAGGATTACCCTGCATCAATCATCCAAATCAGGTGTGTGATGGGTGCCTACTTGGAAAGCAATTCAAAATGAGCTTTCCAAAGGAGTCAGGGACAAGGGCACAGAAGCCATTGGAGCTCATACATACAGATGTTTGTGGCCCAATTAAACCAAGATCACTCGGTAAGAGTAACTACTTCCTTCTCTTTATTGATGATTTTTCAAGAAAAACATGGGTTTACTTTTTAAAAGAAAAATCAGAAGTATTTGAGAACTTCAAAAAGTTTAAAGCCCATGTTGAGAAGGAAAGTGGCCTTGTGATCAAAGCCATGAGATCTGATCGAGGAGGAGAGTTCATGTCCAAAGATTTTCTGAAATATTGTGAAGACAATGGCATCAGAAGACAATTGACGGTGCCAAGATCCCCTCAACAGAATGGAGTAGCGGAAAGAAAGAACAGAACAATTCTTGAGATGGCGAGAAGCATGCTCAAAAGTAAGAAGCTACCAAAGGAGTTTTGGGCAGAAGCAGTTGCATGTGCGGTCTATCTGTCAAACAGATCTCCAACAAGAAGTGTTTGGGAGAAAACACCACAAGAAGCTTGGAGTGGAAGAAAGCCCGGTGTTTCACATCTAAGAGTCTTTGGAAGCCTTGCCCACGCTCATGTACCTGATGAGAAACGAAGCAAGCTAGATGACAAAAGTGAGAAGTACATCTTCATTGGGTACGATGCAAACTCCAAAAGTTACAAGCTCTACAATCCTGATACAAAGAAGACAATCATCAGTCGGAATGTCATCTTTGATGAAGAAGGAGAATGGGATTGGAGATCAAATGATGAGAACTACAACTTCTTTCCACATGTTGAAGAAGATGATTTGGAGCAGCCAAGAGAGGATCCAATTACTCCACCAACCTCACCAACACCAAGTTCTCAAGGAGATGAGAGTTCGAGTGAAAGGACTCCACGTTTTAGAAGTCTGCAAGAGCTTTACGAGGTAACCGAAAATCAAGAAAACCTTACTCTATTTTGCCTGTTTGCGGATTGCGAACCCATGAACTTCCAAGAAGCAATGGAGAAAAAGACATGGAGAAACGCAATGGATGAAGAGATCAAGTCAATACATAAGAATGAGACATGGGAGTTAGCTTCACTTCCAAATGGGCATAAGGCTATTGGTGTAAAATGGGTGTACAAAGCGAAGAAGAACTCCAAAGGAGAAGTTGAAAGATACAAGGCAAGATTGGTGGCAAAGGGCTATAGTCAAAGAGCTAGAATCGACTATGACGAGCGATAGCGACTGGGGTGGAGACGTAGATGATCGGAAAAGCACAAGTGATTTTGTGTTTTTTATTGGAGAAACAGCTTTCACATGGATGTCGAAGAAGCAACCGATTGTCACTCTTTCCACTTGTGAAGCAGAGTATATAGCGGCTACTTCATGTGTTTGCCATGCTATTTGGTTACGAAACTTATTAAAGGAGTTGAGTTTGCCACAAGAAGAGCCGACGAAGATCTTTGTGGACAACAAGTCAGCAATAGCTTTGGCAAAGAATCCTGTCTTCCATGATCGAAGTAAGCACATCGACACTCGCTATCATTACATTAGAGAATGTGTTACCAAGATGGATGTGCAGTTGGAGTACGTGAAGACGGACGATCAAGTAGCTGACATCTTTACCAAGTCACTCAAGCGTGAAGCCTTTATCAAGATGAGAAGTTTGCTTGGAGTAGCAAAATCAAGTTTAAGAGGGGGTGTTGAAAGATAAGCTTGATTTTGGATCATGCTTAAATATTGGGTTAATGATCCAATAATAATTGGGCCAAAACCCAATTATGCTTAATCAAAAATTCTAGAGTTTTCTCTAGAAAAATCAACACTTCCACCTCCTTAAAATGTTCTAGAGAGTTGTAGAGAATAAATATCTAGAGATTTCTCTAGATAATTGTTGTAAAATAATTTAGATATTAAGATAGAATTCTCTAGATTTAGGAATAAAATATTTTAGATATTTTATACTTTGGAGGCTATAAATAGCTACCTCCTCTCTCATTTTGTAACTAACAAGCTAAAAGAAATAATAAGGGAAGTTAAGTGAAGTTCCTAAGTTCTCTAAGTTCTAAAACTTTCTTCTTCTTAAATTTGTTCCTTTGTCTTTCAAATTCTTAAACACCTTCTCCATCACTCTTAAAAGTTTTTCTTTCCAACAGACTCATCGGCTTTATCTGATGAGCGTAAACCTCCACAGCGGCGTCGAGCCATTATAACCCCTCGAGGTAAACTTACTAGCCTAGACGATTAGGATCGAGTCAAAATAAATCAAGTCTATCACTGCGATGGTCTATTGTTATGCATCACGGAAGATGAAATTAGGTCAGCTGTTTGGAATCCGTATAGTGGCCAAACCCTGTGGTTCAACTTCATCCCAAGAGATGGTCGCCGTGTAATGTTGAGCATGAGGCATGCTATAGGATACGAGCAAAGCACCAAATCGTGCCGCAGCTATAAAGTTTTGAGATTTGATGAATCTAGGGAAAACCACGTTAGGTATGAACTCTACTACATCAACTCCAGGGATGTTATTACCACTGTCCCTGTTACTATCTTTCCGGGCTGGAGTGTAGCGCGTCATTCACGTGGCGTGTCTTTGAAAGGAAACACTTATTGGCTTGCTCATGACAAGTTGCCACCAGGCCGAGTACAAGACATATCACAGATCCCTGATTTCTTGGTCTGTTTTGATTTTACGACAAAGAGATTCGGACCGCGTCTAAGCCTTCCGTTTCACGCTTACTCTTACTACGGTGGCAGTACTGTGCCTCTATCTAGCGTTGGAGATGAGAAGCTTGCAGTGTTATTTCTGCATCTGGCTACGTTACGTATGGAGATATGGATTACGACTAAGATTGAGCCTGAAGCTGCGTCGTGGAGCAAGGTGGTGTTTTTAGCGGTGGATATGGAACCAATCATTGGTAAACCAGTGGGTGTTTTATCATCGAGTTTCTTTGTTGACGAGGAGAAGAAAGTGGCCGTGGTTGTTATTGAGTTTTTGCATAGTGTCACAGGGAACAACGACAAGGTAGCTTATATCATTGGAGAGGATGGATATTTCAAAAAAGAGCAAATCGCACAAGATCCCGAAAAGCCCTACTATGTTTACCCACTGTTGTGCCCTTTTGCTCCAAGTTCAGCGATTATCTGAGTGACTTTCTTTCTTTTCTCTTTTGAGACCTTCTTTTGAGACGATTGTTCATTTTGTTTTGAAGCAGAATCAAGTTACTAACCGAAATAGATGTTTGCAATAAACGCTTCATATTTCTTCTTACATCTGTGTTCTGGAGCTTCACTTCCCTAACACTCTTTGCTAAAGTATGAAACCTCATTGAAAGCATTCTCTGTATTAATGTTAACTCCTACTTGCACAAGACTTCCTGCTCTCTGAGCGCTTTGAAACTCATTTTGACAAGTCTATACTCTTAATAAGGTAGAAGAAACGATACATCTCGTATGATATTATCCGTCTGTAACTGACTGTGTGTGAAGGTGATGAACAACAACAAATCTATACAAAAGATCTCTCCTCCCCTCCAGACAAGAGAAACGAATCTTGTTCTTTTCTCTCTATATATATCACATAATTAACACACAGTAAAGAAGCTAAACAATCTCCCCAAAGAATCTAAAATGTCTTCCTCTTTTCAACCCCAAAAGTCGTTATAAAAAGGGTCCATCTTTGTTTGTGTCTGTTACTCAAATCCTTGCATCTGTTGTTATTATATCATCCTTATTCGTCTCTGTGTTTTCTCTAGGCACCTCTGCGTTTTGACTTCTCCTTCTTCTTCGTTCCTATTAAAACATTCATCATTAACACTCTCTAGTTTCCCACACAAAAACTAAAAATCAGTTCTTCTCATTCTAGATACCTCTCTAGGCATCACAGGGTATTCATCTGATTCAAGCATTCGAGCCACTTGACTCATCTTCGGCCTCTTGTCTGCATCAGGATCTACACATCTCAAAGCTGTCAAAAGCGCTCGTTTAAGTTCGCTCGTCGATGGTTTGATCTCAAGCTCTTTATCCACCACTTCTTCAAACTGTTTCTGCTGAACCATCAGCTTTAACCACTCCACCATATGCACCTAATTAAAAACAAACATCTCAAGAATCAAGATCAATCTATAGATTTCATTGAGTTGATTGCTTCTAAGATTTCAGAGTGTATGAATCTCTTGACTACCTCTTCTTTAGGCCGTGCATAATCCACAGGGTACCTTCCAGTGATAGCTTCCAAGAGAACAACACCGAAGCTGTACACGTCGCTCTTCTCGTTTAGTAGACCAGAGTTAGCGTATTCAGGGGCGACATATCTGAATATTATTCATCAATCATCATCGGAACAGAGAACAAACGTTTTAAGAAAAACCAATACAGAGATCAAGTTTAAAAGCTACATTTTGTATAACTCACCCGAATGTACCCATAACTCGAGTACTGACGTAACTTTTATCAGCTCCAAGCAATTTAGCTAGACCAAAATCAGATAACTTGGCGTCAAAGTTTCCATCCATCAGTATATTGCTCGACTTTATGTCTCTATGCACCACTTTCGGCTCAATAGCTTCATGAAGGTAAGCCAGCCTGTGTGAATGAAATTGCAATCACAACACATTCTCATGAGCTTACACAAACCAAGAATCATCAAAGGGGTTAGGATGGGGGAATTACGCTTTTGCAGTGCCAACGAGAACTTTGATCCGAGCCTCCCACGTGAGATGGCCTTGGTGATTCATGTCTCCGTGAAGCCATTGCTCTAAGTTCCCATTGTTCATGTACTCGTAAACGAGCATCCTATGTGTTCCTTCAACGCAATATCCAAGAAGCCTAACTAAATTCTTATGCCGCACATGTCCTATAGCCTCCACTTCAACTCTGAAATCTTTATCAACTTGACCTCTAAACAACAACAAAAAGATAACTTTCATGACAGAGATCATCATGAGCATTGAACAGATAAAAAAAAAATAAAGGTGTTATCAGAAATCTTACGGATTGTTGAGTAACTTCTTGACAGCTACAGGGGTTTTGTTAGTAAGAGTTCCATGGTAGACAACTCCATAGCCACCATCACCGATGATATTCTCCTTGGCGAAATGATTAGTCGCGACTTGAAGGTCACGGAGAGTGAACCAATGGCCCCAACCAATGTGAGAACCCTCTTGAAGACCAGAGAGAGGTGAAGGAGTAGTCGTAGGAGACAAATGTGACCCAACCGCTGTTTTTTTCTCTAGAGAACCAGAGTAGTTGTTGCCATTCTCAATGTCCTTCTCTCCGAATTTCTCATCTAGTGTTTGATGTGAAGTACCATTGCTGTGAGATGAAACGTGATCAACACTTATTTCTTTGATTTCTTCGGGAAGTCGAGGGCTTTGCGTTACAGGAAGCTGTGTAAAGTTAGATCTTCTTGACTTTTTACGGAAGCTGAGCCATACTGAAACGCCGAGGATTACTATAAAAGCTGCGAACAGAGCAATCACTATGATCTCCCATAGTTGAAGAGCACCGTATCTCTTGGTTAGAGTTTGTTTCAGCTCAGACGCCATTATAGTCCACAGATACTATTTGTGTGTGTGTGTATGTTTATACCTGCAGAATTTGAAATGGATCATCAATGTAATCAAGATTGAATGTGAAGGGAGCAATAAATCCAAACTAGAACCTAACGGATCAGGGGAGGGAAATAAAATATAATATATTGAAGCTAATGGTGATGCATTAAGTCAATTATTGGATCTTTCTGTAAAATTATTGAATGGAGCTTTGGAAAATTTGTGATAATCATGAAGAAGATCAACAAGGGTTAAGCTAAATCTTAACCCAATAACATCAGCTTCGTCAAAAAAAGGAGCTAAAAACAGAGGAACAAAAAAAAACAGAGTATAAGGAATTAAAATTTCATCCTGAAGAACTGATAAATCTGATACCGGTGACTTGAGAATTGAGATAAACAAAGAATTGGGCTGTAAGAAAATAAAAAAAATTGCAAGTTCCATAATCATATCAAATTTGTGATCATCCAAAACTTATAATTTGAAAAACCTAAGAAACCATTCCGACTCCAGGAATGAGATCCTGTGAGCTATAGACTGTTTGAGCATTAATACTGTAAGAAACTGAAAAGTCGAAATTGCAGAAAGTAGGAAACTTTTAAGCTTCCAACGAAACCCACATACAAAAATCGAAACTTTGAAACTTTAGAATCAAAATAAACACAAATATCATTCAATTCTGATTAACCCAGTACCTGCTTTCCGATCAATCCTCCTCACTCTCTCTCTTTTTTTTTCGTTCTTTCTTACTTTCTGTTTCCGGTTGGAAGATGGAGACTAGAGCTCGGGTTAACAAAGGAAGCCCATAAACGAAGAGAGAAAAACCGAAAACAAGACAATCAGTGAGATTATTACTCCATTTTCAGAAATCTTTAGAGAGATCTTTGTAGGGTTTCCATTGGTAGGGAGAAAAGATGGAGGAGGGAAACAGAGAAGGAAGTTTGAAGCTTTCTTTGATGTTTCTTCTTCTGGAATATTTTATGCTTGTGGGCTGTGTTTGCCTTTTTCTTTTCGTCCTTTTCCTGTTTGATTAGTTTTCTTTTTCTTCTATATTGCATTTGTTTATTTGTTTTCCTTTACATCTTTCGGCAATTTTAATTACTCAATTTAATTTTTGTTTTCTCTATTAGCAAAAAAAACTTTGTGTTTTTATATGTTTTTGGTTAAAGTAGGTTTTCTCTATCAACTCTTTAGTCTTTTTACTCTTTACTGATCAAATTGCTTTTGCTATGTTTCCAAACTTATTATATTACAAATACCTTTGATAAATATAAAAACTTTAATACCGAAAGTAATTAATTGACTGAAACTTCAAATTACCTCTTAAACATTTACGTTTCCTTAAACAAAAAGAAAACCGTTTTAAGTATTTGAATTACTAGGTATATAATTCGTGCTATGCGTGAATTTATATTAATATTTTGGTTTATTTTTTTTAACTACTATCTTTAAAATTATTAAAAATTATATATATTTATAAAAATTTTCATTTATGTAAGATAATTTAATATATAATGTGTAATTTATCCTATTTTATTTATAAATTTTAAAAACTATTAGGTAAAATAATAACAATGACACCTATCGAATTATCCAACTTTGACGTACATATATATTTGATTTAGAAAAATATAATCTTGCTAAGATTTTGGTATTATTTTTTGTTTTCCATAGAATTTCTATAGTTCTTTTTTTCTTAAAGGTTTATGTGTTCAAATATTTAATTTTTTTATTGAAAGTCTTATTGATGTTGTGTACCACTGTATATATAATCAATGATTCATGTTGATTCATATTTAATTTTGTTAGAAAGTTGTATTGATCATGCAAAACCATTTTTTCCTTCTCCATAGTGTCTTCCAAGAATTTTATGTTATATTTTTATTCAGTTTTCATTGTTTTAATTGTTAAATCGAGTTGTTGTAAATTTTTTAAAATTGATAATTGATAATGATTACTTTTTTATACATGTATTATTAATTGTTAATTTTTTTAACTTTTAAAATTTTAAACCATATTAACAGTTTCTGATTTAATAAATATGTTGATTTGGATCAATCATATTGAATTTTTTTTTTGGATATAATTTGTTAAATTAACTTTTAATGTTTTAATAATACTTAATAATTTTTTGTTTGATTTAAAAGCTGATGTGGAGTAATTAAATCAAGTTTTTCCGTTCTAATCATATTTAACATTTTTTATTTAATGAATATACTGATGTGGATCAATCAAATCGAGTTTTTTAATCTCATGTGGATGCCCTCGATGCACTATACCATCAATTGTGACATAATGTTTATCTCAGATTTCTCATCTTATAAGTATTAAGTATATGCACTTTATTTAAAGTTTGCATATGTAATGTACTTTAGTTGTTGAGAAAGAAAAAAAAGAGACAAGAACAAAATGATGATAGGAGGATGACGAAGCTATGGCCGTGATTGGCGACGAGAATTTTCAGAGTAAATGTTAACCGTTTATTTTGTTAAATAAGTATTGTCAAATGTGTTACTAATTAATATGACAATTTGGTCAACATTATTAAATTTGACGTTGCACCTAACTCTTTAAGGTAATAAAGTGTTAATTATATTATCACCACCTTTCCGTTTATTCTTCTCCACTAAGCCATTTTATGTCTAATTTTTTTTTGTTTTGATGATATATTGAATTTACTGATCAATTTTAAAACTATATTTAAAAAATAGTAGAGGAATTAGGAGATGTGTTAACTAACTTAATGAAAATCCTTTTAAAAAAAAGAGTTACATAACATTATTTTTATTGAAAGTATATTATTTTATTTGAAAGAATGAATAAATGGAGAGAACGAGCGGCTGCAAATTCAGAATCGTGGATTTTGGTTCTTAGAATTGTTAGAAAAAAAAAAAGAAGCTTTTATAAAAAAAAATATAAGAAGATGCGTACGTGGGTCCATGTTCTTTTTTTTTTTAATTTCGTCTAGTAATTAATTAGTAGTCATGTAATAACATATTGCACTTGAAGTCAAATTATCAAAAAAATTAAAATGGCATGCAAATGCAATACGCCAATACCTATGCCACTATGCTCACCTAATTTCATACCAGTGCCTATCATCTCCAATTAGTTCGTACAGTTATCTGATTAACATCTTTTTCCTGACAAACGGAAAAGACTATACTACATATAACTCCACTACGAATATTTCGAAAATACTTACTTTTGACGACGTCTAACAAACAAATGTATTAGGGTTGGAAAAATCGTTTCGTGCTATGAGTTACTATTAAACATATCTTGTAGAAGACGCAAAAACAAATATCATATACTTAAACTTTAATGAGAAATGACATCACATGTAATGCATTGTATATGTTCTCGATGAGTTTCAAGTTAGTTGAGATAAAAAAAATAATAGCTACAACTTATACATTTAACAAAAATAATATGAAATCTTCTTCTAGATCACGTTAGCTAAATATATCAACATAATCTTGTATTGTAACATTTTTTTGAACTTGTGATCAATGATATCATACAATAAGTTTGTGCTAGTCATACATCATATCAGTTTTTTTTTTTTGAACATTATCATATCAGATTTGGGTGCTATCAAAACACATTTGTAATTTTGTATATGCTTTGAAATAAATTCAAAATTTGTATGTTTCCTTTTTAGGACTCGCATTATATACGAAGATAAACAAATAAAAGAACAAATGACGCACTGCGAAGACACTAATCCATAATTGTATATAGAAATTGCTAAATTAAAAAAAAAATAAACTGATACAGTAATAATGTTGCCTTAGCGTGTGCGTGACAAAAGTCAACATGAGAATGCCTTTGTCTAGCTGCGTGGAATACAAGAGACATACCTTCATCATCATTCTCCAGCTGGACAAATGATTCTCTTCATTTTTCTTTTCTCTTTTACAGTTAAAGCCATTATTTTGTTTGCTTCTCACGAATTTTTTTACGTCTCCTTCTTATTTTGACAAAGCATTCATTAATCGTTTTAGCTGAATTCTTGCAAAAATGTATTGTATATTACAAAGGATTAGAACGACGTATTATGGTGTATATATCCTTTATAGAAATAATAATAATGGTGTATATCCCTCCAAGATAAAATCTGAATATCAAATACTGAAATACACCTACTCATGTAACATACACGATGGCAGTTAATAATTTCGAATTATTGTATTTTATCTTAAGAAGAAGAAAATAAGCTGATTGGTTGTAGAATTAGAACAATACTAATAATTTAGACAACGCGTAACAAACAATTGCATGATTAGTGTCCGCCTCCAAAAGCTAACTAACAATGGAGTTTAATTAGTTGGTCTTGTTGATATTTTATTTTAATATTATACTATTAGTTCTTTCTCTCCCTCTCTCTATTTGTTTGTTACTTATTTATTTTTTATTCGTCGTCCTTCTCTTTTCTTTGAAACTTTAGGTTTATTATGGTACTTTTCTATGCCATTTTTATTTATCGATGCTTAATTAATTTATTATGGTCTTGCAGTTGTTGGGTTACATCTAATCTGTCCTACTAGCATCTAAGATAGTCCAAAATAAATATATTCGGGTATGAATAACAATGAGAAAAAAATATATAGAAACAAGGATTTAGTTATTGTTTAAGCTCTAGTTTGTCTCTAAACTACACATGCATTGCATCCAAATCAAAACAACAATATTGTCGGAACTTTTGTTCAAGAAAAATATCACAAGTTACATAAAAATTAATATAGTGCGCTGTGATTGTGAATATAACTATTAGCCATAGTTTTATCATATAAATCATTTTATCATCAAACCATGACATATATCTTAATAGTTTATTCAAGTGTCATGTATCATCCGATCCGAATTCAAAATCGTACGATACAAACACAAAAACTACCATCAAAAGTGTTTCAAGATCTAAAAATTATAAGTCAACAAAAAAAAAAAAAACTAAAAGTGTTATATCTATCAAATACTTAGTTTTTTTAATTTCAGTAATTACTCTGATTAGGAAATTGCTTTTTTTTTTTAAGAATACGACTTTTACCATTTTTCTAAATCTCTAAGGCTTGTGTACAAATAGCTTTACATTAAAATATACAGTATATTCAAGCCATATATATAACACAGTAGGTTTTTTTTTGGTTTCTATATATATATTATCCAACCATATATTCTTCTGTATGGCATCTTATTATTTACAGTTAAGGTTTATGACAGGAACTTATAATAATTATGAATTATTGACATCTCATTACCATAAACGTTCATACCAAGGACGTTGATTAGCTTTCTTTCGTAATCTAGATGTAAAGTTTAACGGGATAAAAAAGGATAGATACACCAATGGCTGCTATGTACACGGTCGGTGCCCAAAAAAAAAAAAAAAAATGTAAACCATGTCTCTTTCTTGTATATTTTTTCTTTAACATGTTATTGTATTGATACTTTTAGGTTATATTATTCTAAATTTTGGAACAAAATGAGATAGTCATGAATGTCGATTGACAATACCTTGAATCTCACAGCTGTTTTTGACTTTCATACACACATTTTTAGCTGAAGAAAGTAGATTAGCACTAGAGTAATTTTATTTGGTACAATATCCAATTACGAATAATTGTACATGTAATAGATAAGTTCGTCTATCGATAACTCATTTTTTGTGATAAAGGAAAATGAGTTGACAACATTATCTTATTGCCGACAAAAATTGGTTAGTAATACCAATTAATAGAATAAGACCTCCAATTATATAAATTGGTTAGTATATCACATTCACTTGGTTATTCTTATATTAAATATAATAAAACCTTCCTAATCCTCACGTTTTTGAAAAAATACTCCTTAAATCTTGAACATACAAAACAAAACCACGTCGATTTATGCATACTCCAATCGTTATCGCATATTGCAGTTTTTGATTGGTATCAGAGCATGAATGGGCCTACAATAAAGCCTATTGACCCAATAGAAGGTGTAAAGTTGGCCCATCAAGCCCAAACCTTATACGTTTCCAGGCGGGGGTCTTTCTCCACACCCGTGAGATGGAACCGTAACCGTTTGATTCAGATTTTGCAGATTGACCTATTCATCTCCACCGTCCGTTTTAATTTATTCACTTATTTCCGTATAATTTGTTTTTTCATTATGGAAGAAAATATAGTATTTTTTTTTTTTTTTCTCAAGTTCCAATCCCTCTTCTCCAACTAAACTACTGTAGCTCTCCAGTTCTCACAAACTTCTACGTCCTCTCCATTAATTCATCTTCTCTCTGTTTCGTTGATTCCAATAGAAGCTCTGACCAATTCATCGTTGTTGATTTTCTCATCGTCAGATTCCGTTTTGAGTTTCTGATTTTTCATATCGAAAGTGTTGGTCTGATCTGCCGCTTCGTTGCGTTGAACTAGATTTGTGCGTTTGTTTCCTTGCTGGTAATTTGCAGCTCTGGGCTTATGATCTTGAGGTAGTAATGTCTGTTCTTCTCTCCATTTTCTTCGATTCTTATACTCCTCGCTTATCGGATCTGATCCATTTCGCCTTTTTCTCTGATCGTGATCTTTCGATTTTCTTCTGCTCCCGCTTGGTGGATTTAGGTTTAGAGGGTTTTGAATTTGATGTCGTAAGATTATTTTGCTTTTCTGATGTGATTACTTTGGCAATTTTCTGTGTTGTGAATCGAATTGCATGGTTTCAGTTTCCGTCCTGCTTCTCATGGCGTAATAGTCCCTTACTGTTGAGCTCGTTGATAGATGCAGTGCTCTCTTAACTGTGGCTTTGATGCGTTGCTTGCTTTATTAGCAGGCACGCAGAAACTTAGAATGCTTAATGACTGACAAAAGCTTTTGCTTTGTTTCTGGGTTCAGTTAATGGCCACGGAACCTTTGCACCTGGTTTTTTCGGGAGACTACCCTATTTTGGTATTGGTGCAGTGAGAGGAAACTTTAGTACGAAGAACTTTGGCCTCTGCTTTTGCTCTGACGAGAGGGGACGAGGAAGATGGCAAAGATGATAAACAAGACGCTTGTACTAACGTATATCTACTTACTGATCTACATTATACTCTCTTCAGGAGTTATTCTGTACAACAAGGTGATTCAAATGCTATACTTTATTAACCTATCTTATCTTACGCAGGTTATGTGTAGTTTGCAAAATTTGTTGGTTTTTGCATTATATATGCTGTATCTCCACAAGAATTCTATGTTTGAATTGTATGTCGTATTGTCGTGTATCTGAGATGAATATATAGCTTTCCTGTGGCAATGAGTGTCGAATTGTATTCTTTCCTATCAGCTGTCCCTACATAAGGATGATAGTATTGTGATGTTAACATCAGATGATAGATTTGCAAAGGCTAATTAGTGCTGTATCTTGTTTTAGTTTTTGTTACAGTAGAGGCTGGCTTCTAAATCATGTTCCTTTTATTGCTTTTTTATTGCAGTGGGTTTTATCCCCAAAATACTTCAACTTTCCACTTCCTATAACGCTGACAATGATCCATATGGGGTTTTCCGGATTCGTGGCCTTTCTTCTCATTCGTGTGTTCAAGGTAATCTAAACTCAAAGAATAACATATACACTTCCATTATAGGTTATACTTACTTGCATTAGACTTCTTTTGTATGGAGTATGCTTATGCAAATCATATGCTAACTTCTTTTAGTATCTTATATGAATCTATAGACTCCTTTTGATTGTGTGGTGATTTGTTTTTCCTTTGTGTTGTAGGTTGTCGCTCCAGTTAAAATGACATTTGAAATGTAAGCCAGCTTTTTCATCTATTTTATTCTCTTGTACGTAAGTTCCCGCATCTATCCATTTTGACACAATGTTTTTGGGTCCAGATACGCTACATGTGTGGTACCCATAAGCGCATTCTTTGCATCAAGCCTATGGTAAGTTACTGGTCTATAGACAGTAAACGTAGTTGATCTCTTGATGATCTCCTTCTTGATATTTTTTAATTTATGAATCAACCATGGGGCTCATGCAAAATTGGTCTTTTCTAGTCTTACATGCTTACCAAACTGACTCTTTTTATCTTATATTTTCCTATGTGCAGGTTTGGAAATACTGCATATTTGCACATTTCTGTTGCCTTCATTCAGATGCTCAAAGCTTTAAGTATGTGGAGACTAATCATTGTGACTACATAATCTATTTTGGTATAGACATTCTGTTCATTTTAGAAAGCATACTAATACATGACTATGGATTTTCAGTGCCAGTAGCAACATTTATCATGGCAGTTATTTGCGGCACTGACAAACCAAGGTGTGACGTGTTCTCGAACATGTTGCTGGTCAGTGTTGGAGTTGTGATATCTTCCTATGGGGAAATTCATTTCAATGTAGTTGGCACGGTCTATCAGGTCACAGGCATATTTGCTGAAGCTCTTCGACTGGTGCTAACTCAAGTTCTTCTCCAGAAGAAGGGGTTGACATTGAACCCTATCAACAGCTTATATTACATAGCTCCCTGCAGGTATTCACTCCTAAATCTTGATAATGCTCAAAGAGTTATATTTCTAAAAGATAATATTTCATCACCTAACCTCTGGTTCATGTCCATCTAGATTTTGATTACATAACATAATTTTCTCTCATTCTTAATGTCATGTATTATTTACTGCTAGAACCTAGATGCAAAGTTCTATCTCCTCTACTGCACAAAGCTTTTCCTTGAAACGCAATGCTTTAATCTTGTGCAGTTTTGTGTTTCTGGCCTTGCCTTGGTATGTTTTGGAGAAACCCACGATGGAAGTTTCACAGATTCAGTTCAACTTCTGGATATTTTTCTCCAATGCTCTCTGTGCTCTTGCCTTGAATTTCTCCATATTCTTAGTAATCGGAAGAACAGGTGCAGTAACCATCCGGGTAGCTGGTGTTCTCAAAGACTGGATTCTCATAGCCCTCTCCACCGTCATATTTCCTGAGTCCACCATCACTGGGTTGAACATCACCGGATACGCAATTGGTAGATTTCTTCATTTCACAACAATTTAACTGCTGTAAAACACTTTGGTTATTTCCTTCTTGACTGTCTGTTTCCAACACTATGCATCGTTTAACTGTTTATTCTTGTCCTGTGTTTGACACAGCGCTATGTGGTGTCGTCATGTACAATTACATCAAAGTAAGGGACGTAAAGGCGTCTCAATCAACCGCCGACACTCTCCCAGATCGAATCAATAAGGTCAGTCAAACATTCTCGACCCCTAACTCTCTGTTGGGTAGAAATTATGTACCCGGTTGATCTCAGGCTTGTGTTATACTCCTTAAGAAGGTGCAATGAATATGTAAGCTGTGTGAGAAAGCCGATGGCCTCTTAAAGTATTGTTATCACGCTTCTCAAATTATAATGTGGAAACCAGTTACCCTCTATATTGTGTGTGTAAGTGTAAGTGTGTAACAGCTGATGAACACAAGCATTACATACAGGAGTGGAAGATGGAGAAGAAGTCTTCAGATAAATTTAATCCTGATGACGGTGGAGAGAGCCTAAGAGTAGGAGCTGAGATTAACGACGAGGAAGCCCCTTTGATTACATCCCGGTTATCTCATATTGGTCGAACGCAGCTCGGAAATCACGCCGCTTAAGTTGCTGCGAAAAAAGAAATACCAAAAGAAATGGTGCAGCATCATCCTAGACCGTGTGTCCTCGTCTCTAAGGTGAAAAAATGTTTAGTTCTCTCTTCAACATTTGCAACATTATTAAGAAATAGAATTAGCGGAGATTATTACCGATGATTAGCTTAAAAAAACTTAAAAGTCACAAATTCGTTTGTAGTGAATTGACATTAAAATTATTATATTTGTGGTCTTTATTTTTTCCATCATCAGTTCATCAATCATCGTCACTTGAGTCAGGATTCGTTTTCGTTCCAATCCAAGAGTTCTGACTTGTGAGCATCATCTCTTAAATATATCAAATCGATTTGCATGTTATTATTGATCTCTCTTCATGGTGATTACGCTATCTAAAAATGTGAAACAAATCGAATCTATAAAAGTTGCATTAGTTTATCTAAAGAATGTGGTTACGCATGTGTTAGAAAGCTTTCATCACGTTCTTCGTTTGACCAGGTTATACTAGAATTGAAAACCATATACTACTTACTGTTCAAACTAGGAAATTGTCTAATGAAAATTCCAGCTGTGTCCTGAGATTTTCTTTAGGTAAACGAAATAAAGAGAGTTTCTAATGACTAATGAGAACGTGAGAGAGAGTATAACATGGTCTGAATTTATACAAAAGAAGAAAATAAAGGTTACTACAAGAAAAACAAAAAGACAAACAAAAGATAGAAATATACAAACCCTCCAATCAAAACCCAGATTCAAATGAGCACAAAAGAACGTGAACGTAAACAACCCCAAGCCTCGGCAACTATCAAAGAACACAAAGCCGAAACCCTCTCTTTTCTCTCTCACATCCATGAAATGGAGTGTAAACAAATGAAAAAGCAAAGAAGATAAATTATCGAACCTCAACTCAAGATGCAATTTCCTCATTCCACGTGAATCAAATATACAGACAGAGATTTCTAATTTCCCGTGTACTCTTGATTCCTCAAGTACAATAGCTTCCTCGATTGCGCTGGAGGAGCTAATCCTGGGATGTCCCTAATGTCTTTGTTATTCGGGTGTACGATCTGAAGATAGTTTATACAACAGCAAGAAGAACAAAACAGAGTTACATCTTTGTCAATGAGCAAATCACAACTTTCATTCGAATGAGCAAATAAAGTACCTTCACTACGATAATGGCTATAACACCGCATACAATGAGAAATAGGAACGCCATTATGCATTTATCAGTAGCCACCTGAAATAAGTAGACTTAGAGATTCAGGTTTTGCAGTCAAGCAAAAGGGGAAATCTATATACAGTTGTACACATGAGCTTGCAAACCTGTCTCCCGATCTCTTTCACAAGCTGAGAGGCCTTCTTGATTGAGAACTGAATCGTGTCCAAGTGGTTAACGACGCGCCCCATTTGATCCGTCTGCAATATTTTTCAGGCTCATTGAGTAAAACTGTACCCATAAGATTTATAGGGACGAGACGGAGGATGCTTTGCATTACCTGTCCCTTCAAGTTAGCTGCAGTTTGAGTCCCAACTTCTAAGGTTTGTTCTACAACCTGAAAGAAACAAGAATGTTACCATATATATATAGTAACAACGGCTAAGTGGAACACACTTTTTCTGCAACTTACCTGTTTTGAGCGCTCTATTGCCTGATCAGTCTCATCCATTCGTTTCTTTCCAGCGTCAACGAGCTCCTGGTTTGACATAGCTATACATAAAATGACATAAGCTCCACGCCTTTCCCAGTTTTCACATTCCCAAAATAATCTACTTCATGCCAAATTCAAACATAATATTTCTTTAAGCCAGTCCATTTGTCTTAATCTCGGAATAATACAATCAATCGAGCAACAAGTTGGATATCATCTAGGCCAACCGGTAACGTTTCTAGCACAATACTGTTCTCTGCCAGAAACTTACTGACACACATCACAAATTATGCTAGACTATTAACCAGAGAGCATAAGTTACTAATCCAGCAAATTCAAGTAAATATAGCATCTTGATGTTCTAAGCTAACTCATATCTAGGAAGCAAGTGAATAGACAAGCATGCATAAAGGACTCACCTGAAGCCACTTGAACATTTTCTTCAGCTGTAGGTTCCCCACTGACTCCAGCTCCCATGTCAAATAGTTCAACTTTCTTGTTTCCTAGGGTACTCATATACCTGAGATCATAGACCAAATTAACATGTATGAACACATAAAACAACCAAACGAAATCCTACAGACATGCGCTCAAAACGGAACGATACAAAATCAAACCCAAAAAAGGACAGGCATGAGATCTCAAACATTCAGCTTTTTAAAGAGGAATGATAGAAGCACTTACGTTTTTCTTAGTGCAACGTAAGAATTGAGTTCCTTGATCTGTAACATTAAACACAAGAGAAAAGTTAAAAAAACAGAAATTAGCAAATACATACACAATGGCACTCAATATCCGCCTTTAGATATCCAAATGGTTACAAATGCGCCTAAAGATTGACCAAACTGCAATATGATTGATACTGCCAAGTGGAACATTAAGAAGGGGCTGTATAAAATAATAATAAATTAATAATCATTCATCTACTTAAGATACGTGACATAGCAGTATAGTTAAAGAACCTCGTAGAATTTCATCAACACACTGAATATAGAGGAATAGTAACTCACCATAGATTGTTTCTCATCGTTCAACTGCTTGTTTACTTCAGGAGAATTTCTAGCTTCCTCATCCTTGAGTTCACGGTCGAACTCCTTCACCAATCTGGCATGAAGTACTCATGAGATAACATAGTATAGAATTACTGAATCATCGGAGAAACTTTATTATGTCATATCAGTAATCTCTCCTTCTCATTATACAACATCTCATCCATTCCAATAAGAAGAAGTGCCATATGCAATGAATCATTAAGAAGATGGTTTTAAGCAATTAAGCATACCTTTTACACTCTCTCATCTTCTCTGTAAGTTCCTCCAGTTGCTTGCTTTGTCTATTCGAATCCTTGATCTTATCCAACCTCTGGAAACCATTCCTGCATAATAGATAATGGTGAATCTCTTTCATTTCATTGAAGAACCACCTCTCCTGGTATCTCTTATCATCAGGCAAAACACACATAAATTCCATCAACCACTCAAATTCGAACCACCAAATCAGATTTACTCGCATATGAGATTCAGTCATACTCGAAAAAAACATCTGATATTCATTCTACTTAAAAACTCCTATACCCTACGATATCACAGTGCTTTGTAACAACGACGACAGAGAATGAGAAAATCGAACAAGTTAACACAAAAGAGAGAGAAAAAAAAACGGAGAAACGGTAAGGAGAAGGCATACGCGAGGGCTCGGAAATGGTCACGGATTTCGCCATGGATCTGCTCCAATTGAGGACTCATCGGAAGATTGGAAGCCATGTCGCCGGAGAAATTGAGATTCCCGACGAAAAATAAACCGGAATTACCCTATCAACCGGTGAACCCTAAAGAGTAAAAAACACAGAAATCTCCTGCTCCCGAAAACCGTTTCACCACATTCCAATTTCTCCCAAAATAAAAGAAAAACGGTCCAAGTTTGACAAAAACTGAAGTTAATCTCCAGAAACGGAAATTCAAAATTAAAATTAGATAAAAAAAAAATCTGGGTTAGGACTTTGCAGAATGAAAGCCTAAAGACGAAACAGAGGGCGTCGAACAACGAAAAAGGGAAAGAGAAGAAGCTCTCTGTCAGGTGAAATGTTATTTTTTCCTGATCATAATTTAGTTTTTTTAATTCAAATTTTATCACTATTTATTCAATTTTAATAAAAAAGACAGATATTCGGTAGTTAATAAATAACAAAAAGAATTGGGCTTATGACAGCGCAGCGCCAACTTTTTTGGTCTTATATATCCGTTGTTTGAATAAATAGAATTATCACCTATTGGCTAGTCTATCTACTACTACCATCATAAATTATTTAATTTTTCTTTCACAATCGGCATCAAAATTTACCAAATTTTAAATCATATAAAACGGTCAAATTCAAAATACACAATGTCTGCTACATGTTAGGAGCTTAGCATGAAAGTAAACATTAATCGTCGTCGCTAAGATCATCATCATAAACATCAAGATTGTCTTCACCACCGTCACCGTTAAGAGAATCGACGTAGCAGTTCTCGTCCTCCTCGTCTTCTTCGTCATCGTCGTCACGGTCTTCGTTCTCTGGTCCGTCTTCCTCCTTCACAAACAAACACAATGTCAATCATCAATTTATCATATTAATAAACCTTTTAGGGATTTGGCGTTTAGCTATATGAAAGTACCTCCTTCTCGGAGGTCACGAGCCAGTCCGGCAGCAACCGATCGACCAAGGCGTAGTTAAGAGAAGGTGGTGTTCCATCATCATGTAGCCGCCGTTTCAGCTGTTTCTCTCTGAGCCGTAAGTTGTAATGAACGAAAGCTAGATCTCTCGTTGACTTTTTCCCGAACCGGCTCTGGCATTGAGCGTTGACTTGGTCGTACACGCTCCACTTAGGCTCGCACCCAACAGAGGAGCAAGTGTGGCTCAGTATCCGAACCGCTACTCGCTGGAGCTCCAAACAGCTTATCCCATGCTGTTGCCACCATGCGGATGGATCAAGCTCTGTTCTTGTCCCAATGGCTATATCCGTTCCGAAATCAGCTTTCGCAGAAGTATAATCAGGAATCTGAAACATTTCAAAGAAATTCGTTTAGCTACAGGTTTCTAAGAACAGATTTTGTGATTTGTTGATTTAGTTTCAATATATCACCTGCATCAATGCTGTGATTCTTCTCGTATTATCAGGCTCAAGCCGAACAATGCATTCGTTAACTCCACGCACAACCTCAGAATGCTGCTTGATTCATTCACATTAACAGCAAAAGTAAGGATATTGCGAGAATAATGATAATGAGTGTGAATCATATATTTAACGATAATCATTACCTACCGCCATAAAATCAGGACGATATCTGTAATCCGGGTTGAAGAAATATGCAGCTACGTAGAGAGGATGGTGAAACAATGGGTTCCAATGGTAATCTATCACACGCCAGAACGGTCCGTATTTCCTTGCATCATCGTTATGAATAGACTTTATCGCCATTTTCGCACGGCACATGTAACCGTAAGCATACGGCAGAGACAGTCTCTCGCCGCCATCATCGATCATGCGAATCACCTGCATCACCGGATCAACCGATTTCAGAACGAACTGAGCCTTCTTCCAAAACGCAGCACCAGACACCATCTTCTCCACTTCTCTTCCTTCTTCAGACTTGGCGGCAGTCTGTGACAACATCCATCCGTTGGATTGAAACAGACCTCTGAGATTGGCCTTGTGGTCCATAAGACTCTGGAGAGTGGTGAAACTGGAAGCGTGGCGAGTGACTTCCGGTCTAAGAAGATCCATCCCCTGTGTGAACTCGTTCTTCATGAGATTGAGCAGCCAAGTTTGGTTGTAGATGAATCTGGTGATTCTTTGGCTCTTCTCCAAGCACTCAGAGACGAGGTCAAGCTTCGAGATGTCTTCAAGAACCAGCTCTGTGGAATGCATCGCGCAGGGAGACCAGTAAAGATTCTTTCTTTTCTCTTCCAGTAACTTTCCGGCACTTCTACAGATACCCGTGTTCTGTGTAACAACCTGCACTACATATTCCTCACCAATGTCGTCAACTAGTTTGTCTAGGTACCTGAAAAGTCTTAAAGCATCTTCTGTTACATCAGTCGCATCAATGGACGAGTGGAAGTAGACACCGCGTGGGCAAGAGACCAAGAAACTGATCATCGTCTTCCCCTCTGTGTTGATCCAAGTGTCTGCCAGTATAGAACAACCAGTCACCATCCAAGAAGCTCTGTACTCCCTCAAGTAGCCTTTGATAGTCGATATCTCGTCCTGTAAGAGCCTACCAGAAAACACCTGGCTCGACGGCACAACAAATCCCTCTCCGTACATACCAATCAGCTCAACCATCTTTTGAAAGTAGAGAGAATTTGCTGCTTCCGTGGGAACTCCTACGTCGTGGAAGAATTTGGAAATGGAGGAAGTGACTTCTTTTCTTGATACAACTCTGTTTGAACAACTGGTGTATAGCTTCCTCTGTTTGCTAGAAGACGGTGTCTGAAACGGGATCACCCTCCCTCGTTTTGGTCTTGCTTCAGAGACAGATCTAGCGTTCACTGAATCAAAGCTTCTCCTTTCGTCTTTACTAAACCTTCCGTTTCCCAGCATCAACCTATCTTGGCTACCTGGAAAGAAGTCATGATCCTCTCCATCTTCTACTTGCTCGGGATCCTGATACAACGTTAAACCCCCCGTGTCGTCATCATCAGGCCTGCTCTGCCTTTTCCCAGCTCGGTGCCACTTCATGTTCTCTTTAATCTTCACATAAACCTCCTCGGGAGCGGTTTTACACGGCGCCACCTCTCCGGGTATCCTCGCGAGGTGCTGTTTAAACCGGTTGATACCGCCACTCACAATCTTGCTACAGTAATTACATTTCACCTTCTTCTTCCTCTCGTCCTGAGCAACACCATGTTCCCACCCAGGATCAACGTACCCTGAAGATCGGAGAAGACTCGCGTCCCCAACGGATTGCTTTCCTTTGCCTCTTCTAGGCCAGCACCGCCGCTCTTCCTCCTCCTCCGCCTCGTCATCGTTGTTAGACTGATGGAAACCGAAACAAGACTGCCCGTTGCTATCCTTAGTCTGCCTCAGCTTCCTGGTGGAACGTCCCCGTTGCAGATTCTCTTTCATCCTCAGGCATACTTCCTCCGGAGACTTCTCGCAATAGGTTACTTCTCCGGATACTCGAGCCAAGTGCTGCTTCAGTCTGTATATTCCTCCGCTAACTATCTTCCCACAGTAGTTGCATTTAACCTTTTTCTTGCGCTCGTCTTGTGCAACACCGTGCTCCCACCCAGGGTCTACTACTCCGATTGATCCCAGTGGAGCCATTGTTAAACCATATGCAAACTCCAAGAAAGCTTCAAGCTTTATCAGTTCCACAGACCATAAAATCTCCGCAGCCTCAATCTATTTAACAATAACAAAAAAAAAAACATCTTTATAACATAATGGTGGGATTCAAGAAAGAGAAGAAATGGTGTAAAAAACAAAAATTAGCAAGAAAATCAGCTAAGAGGCTACTATTTTCTGTAAATGGAAATTCTTTTCTCTGGAGAAGATGACTCTGAGTTAGTAAACGAAGATGACTATGACATTCTGTTTCAAATCCCAACAATGAAATGTAACTGGGTTTCTCTGCTATAGCATACCTAATGAGGCTAAGAACGTTCTGGTGCTGGCGAGTCGGAAGTTTCGAGAGAGGAGGGAGATTTCGTAATCGGAGGGGGAGATTTTCCGGTTTCGTTCGATTTTTCAGACTGAAGAAAAGAGAGGTAAAACTGAAGCGAAGTTGGAACACATTGCAGGTGGCGAAGGGAAGCGTTTTCGCGGAGGGGGAAGGGACGAGTCACGGAGCGAGATAGAGCTGGGTTGGGAGCAAAATTAACTCGACTCGGGCGATTTCTAGGGTTTCTGTCCTCGGCTGACTCGTCATTTTTAACAAATTTTCGAAATGAGGGCTTATATTTTAAGAAATTACAGACGAGCCGCTACATAATCGAAAGTTTATAGTTAGCCCTCTCTTCCATCTCCTGTCAGTTGTCAGATATCTTTGTTTCCGGTGTTTTGCTCTTTCATCAATTTGGCAAAAACCTATCTCCGGAAATGCCTGAACTTGCTCTTTCCATTTTCGTGGTTCTTATGCAGATTTACATAAAAACTACCAACCCAAACATATAATTTGATTTTTCCAAACTATTATCTTAATGATATAATCTTAGAACAAATGAACAAAAAAAAAACAGTGTCTTTATCCCAATTTCCAAGCCAAAACGGCAATGCAATATCATTTTCTTGGATATGTGTTAAGCAACCTAATTCATCATGACATTGTCTTGATAACTTCGAACATCAGTCAAATCTTCTTCAATGAAAATAATCCAAACCAGTAAACCATACAACAAGACGAAATCATGCTACAAGACGAAATCTTATAATCACACAGAGACATTTAAAGGTTGAAGAAGAACACATTAATATGAATGAATTGTCACTGCGTCTCTCACACACTATTATACAAAAAAAAAAGCTCTGAGGATCTAATCCTAAACACAAAAGCCTCCAGCTTTCTCTGTGAGGCATTTGATGAGTGAACAAAGAACTGTAGAAGACAAATGAAGTTCACCAAATCTGGATATTACATGTTTAATAATTCGCAAAAAGTAGACTTTTCTTGAACCCTAGAGGAGATCTATTATACAAATCCCTACGTACCGATGATTGCGGGATTTTGCTGTGAGGTTCTTGTGAATCAGCGGTCGCTGTCCTTCCTCTTGTTGGGGTTAGGATTCTCTGAAGCTTTTTGTTTATCAACAAGGTCCTGAAGATTCCCCAGTGCTTCTTTAGCTCTCATCTTGGCGATTCCAGCTGCGAGGACCTTCTTAACAGCTTCGTTCTTTAAGTGAACCGTCGCATTACGCAGAGAAACCACCGCGATATCCGCTGCTGCGACGAGAGCCTTGAGCGACTGGACATCGAGAAGCGGTTCGGGGCCGTCGTCGTCATTCTCTCCGCTTTGGTCAGAGGCCGGAACATGGAATTTGGGGAAGAAGGAGAAATTGGGGTCAGAACATGGCGGGCAGGTGAAGGAAGAAGCGGCGGCGGAGGAGGAGGAGGAGGTGGCGGAGGGAGACGGCGGAGGAGAGCAAGCGAGGTGGGTGATGGAAGGGCAATTGAGGCAGGTGATACGAGCTCGTGGAGGAGGGACGGCGGCGAAGACGACGAGACAGATTGGGCAGAAGAGGTCCCGATGCTCCTTGAGCAAACAATCGGTGCAGAGTCGCCGGTAAACGCTGTTTTTGCTGACTGTGTGGAGGATCGACGGCTCTGACCCGCAAGCTGCGCATTGGTGTGGATTCTGTTCCGGAATCATGGCTGAGTCGACGAGATTGCGAACTCTCTCTCTCTATCTTTCGTTGAGTTTCCTCAACGGTAACCCTAAGCGAGAGAGAGAGAGAAAGAGAAGAAAGAAGCGTTTGTGTTCTCAGAATTTTCAAGATCTTGGACTTGAAGAGATGATGAGAACACGACTGTATTCTATTGGGAGCTGAAAACTTATATAGGGAACTAAAAAATGAATCTTGATTCTTAACTGAATTAGAAAAAATGGATCTTTATTCTTCTTTCCTATAAATTAACATTCAAACCTATATATGCGGCGACGTGTCGTATTTAGAAGACGAGACCTAAATCTTTGGTCTCTTCATTGCTTATTGCAAACTCTTAAGCATCGAGATTCAACAAATGCGAGACTACATTCCTCTCTCTATTCATCGTTTTCAATTTCATACATCCAAACAACTAAATAGCAAAAGACAATTTTCCATCTGCAAAAAAGCTTTAGCTCTGTGACTCCACTTCCTCAGCTTCTTGGTCTTCCACAAACGTAAAAAAAAACTGAAAAAGCCAAAATCAAAAGATCAAGATCATGGTCGTTTTCATCACTCTGCCAGCATAAATGGGTCGACTTCTCCAAGATCTGCGACCAACGGTTCTAATTCTGATGGATCCTCGTCTTCTGGGGCTAAGTAGGTTGGGAATGGAAGCTTCGAGATGTCGGGTTTCTTGTACCATGCATCTCTTATGAATACAAAGTTTCCTTCTGCACCAGGAACCTGCAACAAGAACAGATCACACAATCATGACCGACCAACAAGACCCAATGATACTCACATCGAATGATCCTAACGTTAGTGGGGAGCCAAAGACCGGAACTCGTATTGAGACACTTACTTGTCCTCTCACCCAGATGAGGTTCCTCGCAGGATCAATTTTGTAAACCCAAACGTTCTTTACTGTCCTCTGGTCTGCACCCATTCTCCCAGGCATTTTTCTGCCCTTGAACACCTGCTCAACGTATTAACCAAGTCAGTCTTAACAAACTTCTTTAGAGAAAATCAAAAGAAAGCAATTTTGACACATACCTTTCCGGGATCATCTCTTTGACCTGTGGAACCACCTTTTCGATGGGCCTTTGAACAACCATGTGAAGCCGGTCCTCCTAAGAAGTCATATCTTTTCATGACTCCCTGCAAATTACATAACAAAAGAAATCAATAACTTACATTTGCTCACTCCATTGCTATTTCTCTGCCACATTGTTACTTGACTATTCAACTTATCAGTAGTACCAAAGTAAAAGATCAAATTTTTTTGAAGCAGCTGACCTGAAACCCTTTTCCTCGAGTGATCCCAGTGACATCGACATACTGTCCGGGAACAAAATGGCGGACACCGAGTGAGGTGCCAACAGGAAGAAGAGCGTCTTCTGTCACAGGAAACTCTCTCAGCTTCCTCTTTAACGGCGCACCTTGAGCTCTGAAATGGCCCACCTCAGGCTTTGTCAAATGCTTCGGTTTCTTATGGCCACATCCGATCTAACTAACACAGAACAACACATGCCAATCACATTACTAAACCATGACGAGCTTCACAAACATCACCTACTGACCCATTACACTTTAAAGGAGAAGCTAAGTAATCCAAATTAGATGTTGACACCCTAGAAAAAAGGAAATCTATTGATCAAGTAACAGCTACGCGAAGAGCTATCACTAAATCAAGCAGATACACTACATCGGCAAATATGGGGATGATAAACTGCGATGGAATTACCTGTAGCGCGAAAATGCCTTCTTTTTCAATAGTTTTGACCTGAGAGACGATGTTGTCATCGACCCAGAGAACAGAAACAGGAACCCTAGCTCCCCATTTGTCCCAGAGCGCAGTCATCCCACACTTGACGGCGATGATCCCGGTCCTTTTGGATCTCGGAGACATCTCACCGGGTTTTGCTTCGATGATTCGAGTCGGAGGCTCGATGATATCAGATCCACTGCCGTCGACTAACCCAGCATCGGAGCTAAATCGTCGGAGGAGAAAAAAGCTGCAATGGGGAAGAGATTCAGAGGATGAAGGAGTCGTAGACCGGATTGATAGAACCCGATTGATGTTAGAAATGAGGCCTCTCCGTACGGCCGCCATGTCTTCCAATCGAAGCGACCTTCAATGGCAGAAGAGGGAAAGAGATGCAGAAACGTGAACTCGGAGGCTTTTGCGTAGGGTTTTAGATGGCCGTCAAATGTTGATGATACACTAGCAACGAACCCTCTGAGTCAAAGAGAGAGTCTAAAATGATGGAGTATTTAATTTCCCCTCTTTTTAAGAAAATAAATATGTGGACGAGATAACAAAAATCCTACGTGGCTTATCCATTGCTGCAAATAAAAAAAGAAAGCAACGGTACCATTATAAATACCGAGAAAAAAAAACACAAATAATCTTCTAGAAGTTAAAGAATCTTCGCCTCAATTCAAATCTCAAATGTCTGTAATTCGTCCTTCTCCAATTCCAATCCCGAGATGCAGATCCCAGATAGTGTATCGTCGTCTTCATTCGATCTACTTGATTCAGCACCACCAGCAACGACGTCGACGGTGGAATCCGAGGTCGGGAGCGAACGATGCTGCAATTGAATCGACGACTCGTTCTCCGGAGGCAGCGGGAGGAAAAATGGTGGTGGAGCTTGTCGGGGCCTTCAACGAAGTGACGGAGAGGATGAATTCGGTTTGGCTATCGACGTCTTCGTCTAGGCTACTCTTTAAGGCTCTGAAGCTCTCGATTCCGATCTTACAGTCTCTCCCTCTTGCCTCTGACGGTCGATCTCCTCTCTCTAAGGCTCTCTCCCTCTCTATCCTCCTCGCCGATCTCCAGGTTCCTCTCTCTTTCTATCTCTCCCTCTGAATCCCCATAGTTTTCTGTTTAGATGATTAGGTTCTGTTGTTGATTCGGTGGCGGAGAATTGGAGCGAAATTGTGTTCGTAAAGAATGAAATTGAAGCAAAATCACAGAGGATTTATGAATCTATAGTATATTGACGATGAAGTTGCTCTATGATATGGTTAGTTTACTTACAATGTCTTTGCTCATCAGGAAGAAAAAAATCTGGCAATTGATATATTGTAATGGCAGATGGATGCGGAAGTTATCTCGGCGAGCATACTGAGTGAAGTGGTGGAGGCAAATGCTATTTCCATACACGAAGTTAGAGACCAGATCGGTACTGGAACTGCTCATCTGCTTCACGAGATCTTCCGTGTGAAGAACATCCCTTTCAAAGTCGACGTCTTGGACGAGGAAACCGCTGCTTCACTGAGAAAGTTCTACCTCACCTACTACGACATCAGAGCAGTGATCATGGACCTTGTTTCAAAGCTTGATGAGATGAGGCATTTAGATCACTTGCCAAGGTATCGCCAGCAGATTCTTTCCCTCCAAGTGTTAAAGATCTATTCTCCTTTAGCTCATGCAGTCGGGGCTAATCAACTGTCACTTGAGCTCGAGGACATCTCTTTCCGTTATCTTTTCCCGTGTTCGTATCTATACTTGGACTCATGGTTAACAAGTCATGAGAACGGGTCTAAACCGTTGATAGACGTGTACAGAGAGCAGCTACGTCGGTCTTTGAAGGATGATTTGGTTTTGGCTGAGATGGTGGAGGATGTATATGTGAAAGGCCGGTATAAAAGCCGGTACAGCATGATGAAGAAGCTCCTAAGGGACGGGCGTAAACCGGAAGAAGTTAATGACGTGCTTGGTCTACGGGTCATACTGACGCCAAACTCTGTGGCAGACGACGATGTTGAAGTGGGAGAAAAAGCATGTTACCGAACAAGCGAGATTATCCGGTCTCTATGGAAGGAGATTCCACATAGAACAAAAGACTACATTGCTCGGCCAAAGGAGAATGGGTATAGGAGTTTACACATGGCCGTTGATGTTAGCGACAATGATCACACAAGACCTTTGATGGAGATACAAATACGGACAGTGGATATGGATGGATCCGCTAATGCAGGAACAGCATCACATTCTTTGTACAAAGGCGGTCTGACCGACCCAAATGAGGTAAGCTCTTCTGTTTTTAAGTTTTTGTCAATTCAGGAGATTGAGCTGATTGTTTAAAATCTACCTATAGGCGAAGCGGCTAAAGGCGATAATGATGGCAGCAGCGGATCTAGCAGCGATTCGACTAAAAGATCTCTCATCCAATAAACACCAAAGTTTAAAGACAACAACGAACCAGAGAGACAGAGTGTTTTGCCTTCTGGACAAAAACGGCGACGGAATGATCAGCATAGAGGAACTAATGGAAGTGATGGAAGAGCTTGGAGCTCCAGGTGAAGACGCAGAGGAGATGATGCAGCTTCTTGACTCCAACAGCGATGGATCTCTTAGCTCAGAGGAATTCGATACATTTCAGAAACAAGTCCGTTTTTTTTTTCTTTCACATTTGCAATACATTATTGCTCTCTTTTATAATTAGTGATTGTGATGGGGTGGGTTTGTGTGTTTTGCAGGTTGAGTTCATGCGTAAATGGGAAGATAGAGATAACGAGTATAAGAGTCTCTTAGATGAGAAGCTTAATGATCTCCCACATCAAGATACAACCGGTTTGATTCAGTTATACAACAAAGAGCTTGAAGATCGGCTCTCTAGCCATTAAAATACCAAACCATGTTTCTACAATGTGTATAATTTGTCATACATCCAACGTAAATCTTTGTATTTTTCTGTTGTAGCCGTTTTGTTCCTATCAACTTCTAAATTGCGTGTTTTACGTTGAGATAGATTTATTAGGTAGATACCGTAGATTGATGAGAACAAAGTCTTGTCATGGAGCAAGTTCTTGGCAGTGGCTCGTTATTGTCATTTTGTGTGTGGTTTGAGTTTCTTCATGGACCGTATGTATTGGTAAAACTAAAAGAGACAAAGATAAGAGCATCAGGAACATTGTATGCATTACTCGAGAGGACTCTTATGACACAAGTCACACAACCCCAATATTCATAAGTTGAACAAATATTAAAAGGGCTAGCAAATCTTTATTCAGAAGCTTATGACACAAGTCACACAACCCCACAACAATTCATCAAATTGTACTCAAATTCTCGATCAAATACATATGCTTATTTTCCTTTCGTTGTAAGAAGAAAGGGAAAGAAAAAAATAGGAAATATAATCCACATTGGAAAAGGAATGAGTATACTTGAAGCGGTGTCGTTTGCATATAAAATAAATAGAGAAAATTCGAAACCTAATTCCGAATAGGGTCTCAGGAGAAAAACAAGAGTGATATGTCTGAGCTTCTGCCAGACTTGGTAGAGGAAATACTCTCTAGGGTTCCAGCTAAAAGCCTGAGTCGATTGCGTTCTACTTGCAAACGATGGGATTCTTTATTGAAAGACCGAAGATTCACCGATAAACACTCTTGTAAAGCAGCGAAGCAGATTCTCGTTCTGATGCTGAATGAATTTAGGGTTTGTTTAATGAACGTCAATCTCCATGGGATTCGCAACAACTTTAATGCTTCATCTGTAGAGTTTAATAAGGTTGGACTTACCCTAAACGATTCCCATTATATCTCGGGACAAGTCGATGTACTTAGAGTGTTTCACTGCGACGGTTTATTGTTATGCACCACAAGGGACAGTAGGTTGGTGGTTTGGAACCCTTGTAATGGCCAAACCAGGTGGATCCAATATAGTAATCGCAAGAGTAACTTATCTGAGTTTGCTCTTGGATACGAGAACGACAAATCTTGCCACACCTACAAAATTTTGAGGTGTTGGTGTAATTACGACCCACACAACCGAGTTCTTGGGTTTGAAATCTATGACTTTAGCTCTGATTCATGGAGGGTTCTTGACGTCAATCCCGACTGCATCGTACAACCAAACGGCGTGTCCTTAAAAGGAAATGCTTACTGGCTAGCTTTGGATGAGAAACAGGAAGAAGAAGTCTTGGTAAGTTTTGATTTTTCAACAGAGAGATTTAGACGCCTGTCTCTTCCGTTCTCGAGTTATGAGAATGTAACTCTCTCAGCTGTTAATGAAGAACAACTGTCGGTGTTACATCAGAGTTTTATTGATAATGTAGATATGGAGATTTGGGTGACGACCAATATTGATCAGATTCAGACCAAAGACTTGTCGTGGAGAAAGTTTTTGGCAGTCGATCCAATCCATTGTCCTCCTTTGTTTCAAAGGAACGTGAGTTTCTTCATCGACGAGGAGAAAAAAGTGGTCGTGTGTTGTGATATAGGAGGCAGAGATGAGACCAGTATGGTATACATTATTGGAGAGGACAGATGCAAAGAAATCACTTTTGGAGAATCTCCAAAAATATTACACTGGCCATTTATGTTCAATTATGTTCCAAGTTTGGTTCAAATCCAGCAAGGTACAGTAATAGCTAGACGCAAAAGAAAAGAACGAAATTAGTCGATGCAACTCTTTTATTTTGTTTCCTCTTTTTTTTTTTTTTTTTTTCTTGTATAGTCAATCTCATAATGGATACTTTTTACTTATGACGTTATTTTTCTTTACGGTTACACTTCGAGCTTCAACTTAATCCAGTAAATCAGTTAACTGATCTGTTACATTAGAAACGACTGGTGCTCTAGACATATGCCGATGATTAAATTTGTCTCTTGCGAGTTTTTGGTCCAGGCACGTAACACTGTAGTTTTTCAATTTGTACATATGCATCCCATTTGGAAATACATCTATATAAAATATACAAACATTAAATTTTACAAATAAAAAAAAAATGAAGAGATTTTCTTGAGCTTTTGACTACCGATCAGGCACACCAAATAAACGAGCAAATACAAAGGTAGCGACTAGCGTGTGAATAAAAGCTCTAATTCTTGAGAGGTAATTTTCTTTTTCTCCACCTTTTTTTTTTATAACTAATGCAATATATATCTGTACTACGTATATAAACTGATCAGCTCTTTATATTTTAAATAATGAAAAATTATTAACATCAATGGTGTACCATATCATAAATGAGCCAAAAACACCCAACTCCTCTATGTTACTATCTCTTGCTCCGGTGAGGAACTGCCCACGTCTTTTAATAGTCTTTCGTACAACTGCACCAACCCAAAATTATACTATTAAATTTCATCTGTATAATATTCTTATTTTTCCTAAATCGAACAACCGAAGATAAACACCATTAATTAACTTAGTGAGAAGAGATAATATTAGCTTACCTGTCTATACAAACATGAATCGCCATAAGATTTTCTTAGCTCAACCACGTTCAGTGACGGCTTTATCTCGAAAACCTGTTACACGTACGATAAGAAATCCTTTGATTAGTCAAAACATAATAATAATAATAAAATAGTCTAAAAGACTAAAACAGTGAAATATATTATGTAATACCTCTGCTGTTACTAATAAGCCAACTTGACCTTTTTGGGTTTTTTCCTCTTGCTTTACTTTTAACTGAAGAAGAAGAAGAAAATACAGTTTACACTTATTCTATGAACTTTACAAGCTTTACATTACGAAGAAGAGGAAGAACATGTTGTGAAGACTCACCTTCGCATGTTTCTTTTGTACACTGAATCCCATTTCTGTAACCGCTGTTTCGATTTTCTCCAGTAAATCTTTTGCTGAGCTATTTGAAGTGAATCTTATTCTTCTCTCTGATACATTCTGAGAATTGGAAAGGATAACTTTTTTATTAGTATTATTTTGCATCGTCTCAAGCAGAGCACACATCTTTTTGAAACAGAGTAAAAACACTTTACCTCTTGTTCAAAGAATCCGGACAAATCAAGAAAGGAAGACATTCCGATTAACTGAAACGCATTGATAATGGTTGGTGAATCACTGCCCTTCCCTTCTTCAGATCCCTACACCGTTCAGAAAAGAATACGGAGAATTGAGCACATTGTACGTTCAATCAAATGCACTTGCAAAAAAAAAAGAGTGAGGTGACAGATTCTTACGAGCTCTTGGACTGAGAAAGCATCATCGTCTGTGTCGACTTCTTCTTCGTCATCATCATCGGGAATTGAAGGAGTGTAGTCATGCTTGAACCATTCGCTTGCTTTAATACCCGCGACTGTGGTCCTCGTGACTGGATTTGGGTCGAGCATTTTCTTGATCATGGTTCTTGCACCTGGTGATAACCATCTTGGTATTGGCGGATCTCCTTTGCATATCTGAAAAAGAAATCAAATAATTTATCAACGTTGTTTCTTCAAAAATGTGCGTCGTCCAAATAATAATATCGAAAAGAAGAGACGGTTTACCTTCTGGTAAAGAACTGCTAGGTTTCTATCGTCAAAAGGAAGACATCCGGTTAGAATCACATACAAGATTACACCACACGACCATATATCTGATGCTGCACCATCGTAGCCTTTGTTCGCTAAAACCTCAGGCGCAACGTAATTAGGGCTTCCACAAGTTGTATGTAGCAGTCCATCATCCTAGAATTGGCAAGGAGAGAGTTAGTTGGAGCTAACATATGGATTTCAACCATTTTTGTTTTCTGATATACAATGATATTTTCAAGTACCCTGAAATGCTGAGGCAGAGCACTGAGGCCAAAATCAGTGATCTTAATGTGTCCATTTGCATCAAGAAGAACATTCTCTAGCTGCAGTATAGAGAAAAGTTGAATATCAGGCAAAATATTTCACAGCTTTTCATGGTTTTGGAAAACGTGAGAAGCACGGACCTTGAGATCCCTGTGGAAAACACCTTTGCTGTGACAGTAGCTGATTCCATCGATCAGCTGCTGAAACATTTTTCTTCCCTCGGCTTCTGAAAGCTTTCCTTTAGAAACCTGAGAGTTATCAGAATGTGAGTTTAGCTCAAAAATACACTAGTGTTAAAGAAAGAGAAAAAAAACTAATGGGCCGCTTCCTTACAATTCTGTCGAACAGTTCTCCTCCGGTGACACATTCCATGACCATATTAATTTTAGTTTTGCTAGCCAAGACCTGCATGACGACCATAAGAACGCGGCCCATTAGTTTCAAAAATAAATAAAGGGAAATGTGAATTCTGAGATAAGATGTTTGAAAATCCAAAAGATTGCTCCTAATAAAAAAATGAGAATTTCAATCATATATCACAAATCTTACAAGATCACATAGAAACTGTAGGTACAATACAACACGACAGAGTTAGTCGCGACCTGAAGCTTAAAACGTGGACCACGTGTATCCAAAATGCGAAATCAATAATCGGTTGCTTAACCAAAAAGTCAAAGATTGATCTCGTGTAACAAAGGCAAGGCAATCAAAGATTTGAAATCTATACTAATTAGAAGTCAACAATAAACGTCCTCCACCTTTTTAACCCAAATGCACAGCACCATCCAAATAATATAATCCGACTATATAAATATTATTAATATTACCATAAAAGAAAGAGAAAAAAGTGAAAAAGTGGGTCCATGTGATAAAAGCTTAAAAAGGTCCTAAGATTAGGCAATTATAAAGTATTCAGCGCCATATCCTCTGCATTTTTCACGACAATATTTGGGACCCACCTTTGCATTGAAAAGGTCATAATTTTGAGTGAGCGGCCAAGCCACCATTGTTGTCTCCATAATGGAATAATTAAGTTTTAAAAATGTAAACTGTGGCTAATTGGCAACGTGAAAAACAAGCTAAAGCAACATGTTTGGGTACGAAATCGATGACCAATATTCACGATTTTTTAAAAAAGTGATTAAACCGAATGACTTGTAAAATATTCTCAAACGACCCAAAAACAAAACATTTTTCACAGGATTTGATGTTTTAATCCTCGTCAGCAAGTTCTAATCACTTTAGTTTCGTTTGATAAGATAAGGTGATAATCCCATAGATAGGGAGACTAAAATTAGTGAATATCAGTGATACCACAGACCAAATCTGGATAACAGCAAAACTGGAAATTTAATAAATAATAACCATAAGCAATTATTCGGAAACTTTTATTTACTTTTCTGTCATGCTCAGGTACTAAAATAAACAGAGCCTACACCGCAAGCAAACAAAAGAATCCAAAAATTGCTAAACTAATTACATAATCAAAGAATCATTCGATAATCATGGAAGTTTTTTTTTTAAAAAAAAATTAAAATTAGATAAACAAAACCGGAGACGCACCTCGTGTAATCTGACAATGTTGGGATGTTTCAGCATTTTTAGCGTCCGGATCTCTCTTTTTATCTGCAAAATTCAAACGATAGCTTTCAGAAAAAACTGGATCCGTCGAATTTTTCGCCGCTAACACGAACAAGTTTCCGATTCAAACACGAGAAACCCGCAAAAAAAAAAATGGGAGATTATATCGAAAACGGCGAAAACCAAACCTGTAGGGAGAAGTTGAGATCGGCGATACGAGACTTGTCGATGATTTTAACAGCGACAGATTGACCGGAGACGGTATCCTTCGCGAATTTGACTTTACCGAAATTACCCTCGCCGAGCGTCCTCCCAAGCTCGTATTTCCCCAGACGCATTCCCTTCCTCACCGCCTCCACCTTCTCCTCCTCTTCCTTCCTCACCATCCAATCAACAAATTTTAGAAATTTCTGGAAAAAAAAAACAGAGAACCGATTCGATCGATTGCTCGCCTGAATCTCTCACGATTAGATATCTCGCTCGCTTCTAATTCCGTTTTGGAGAAGAAGAAGAAGAGATGAAGTGCCGATTGAAATTGAAGAGAGGACGCCACTTCCCATTGCTTCCTCTCTTCCTTTATATTCCCATTTGTTTTTTTCTTAATTTTCGATTATTACGCAGCAAAATATTTTATTTCTTTTTTTGTTCCTTGTTAGCCAGATTTTTATTGGATAACAATAAACATATGTTGTATTTATCTGATTAATGAAAATTGACAAAAGAAAAGATAATTCTGATTACTAAAAATTGTAAAACATTTTCGAAATATTTTTTTGCTAGCACTATTTCAGATCAGATATTGGTCCAATAAAAATCCTATAAATGTAAGATTTTAGTTACAAGACTCTTATTTTTTTCATCAACAGGGAACTTCTTTAGTTAAAATAAAAAAATAAAAAATATGAATAATACACGCAAGAGTTTTATACATTTATTTTTATAGGAATATATAAATAAGATATATCTGCGAGATATACATAATAATATATGTGTACTTGTAGGCATCTACGGGCCCATGTCATTTGTTGCATTAGTGTGATGTTGAAAACTTGAAATAAAAATAATTAGTAATATAACAGATTCATGAGAACTTTGTTTTATCGGATGTTGGAAAGAAGCGCTATCTAAAAAGATTTCTACACATTTTTTTTTATCTTATTTCTGGAGCAGTTTTGATTTGGTTTCAAATTTTAGATTTTTCTCTTTTATAAAAATAGTAATCTTGTTATATATTGTTGTACAGTTTGAATTTCCATTTGGATATTAGCTTGATAACCAAAATATATCATCAGTCGGATTTTAATATTTTAAAACTCAACTTGAATTTGGCTTCAATTTAGCATAGAGATTGCTTTTAAAAAAACCAGAAATACCAGAAAACTACATCAATTTGTCACTAGCTCTTTTTAAGTATATATAATCATAAAATTAGCAGATTGAGGCAGATACTACTAAATTATAAACTTCCAAAATGTTCATATTCATACACTTCTTTTTTGGGTATGAATGTTAAAAATGTTCGTAGTAAACTATAACAAATAAAACAACGCGCTGAGAAATATTCACAAAAAAAGTAATTTCTCATAAGCCGTCAAAACTTTAGAAATTTTGAAATGATCATAGGATTAAACTCTGATAATAGACCGACGAAGATCTTCCAACTACTCTGTAGTCGTGGTAAATTTAGGATATTGTTTTTAACAACGATAGCCTTGCATGAATTATTAATGGAATTTTAAAACAATCTTTTGAGATCGTGCTTTTGTTTGGAAAATATTGTTTTTGTCTGTCTTTGTAGACTAATAATTTCGATTGTAAGCTTTTAGTAATTTTTTATTGGCGAGATAGGCAGGCGTTTAACAATATACAAGCGTTCTTTATACACTTCAAATGTTGGACACATAACATGATAACAAAAAATGGTGGTTTTCAATCTCATGTCTATTTTTGTCAACTCACAATTAAACCTTGATGGTTTTAATTAAATTTTTATGGGTTTTGGTAAAACGAAATCCGAAATAACGTATAATATAAAGATAAGACATATATATGTAAGTGTTGGAAATTAGGGACGATACAGTCTTCTATCACACTAGTCATGAAAAAGAGAAACTTCTTACTCAAAAATAATATTTACTTAAGTAAATATTTTCAGTTAGTTTCAAAGAAAGTGGGGAAACCTAACATGATATTACAACGCATTTAAAATATGTTACTGATCAGTTTTTGTCTGAAATATGTTATTGATCAGAATGGGATTTTGTATGGAATGTGGTGGATATATGTTTACGGGTCACATGTTTCTGAAGGCATCTTGTCATAACATATAAGAAAAAGTTGCAGTTACTAAATGTAAATGATGTGACTGAGATAAAAAAAAATTCTAGAAGGAGAAACTAAACAACTACTAAAATAATAATCCGAGTTCCGAACGTGTCGGAATGGCCGGTGTTAATGCTGTTGCCGGCTGCCTCCAGTGAGCCGCACATCGTCCGGTTACATATTAGTTTCCAAATATATTTGATTAATGATTATGTTGTCCACTTCTCTGACCTGAATAAAAGTCTTTGATTCTACGTGGCACGGTTCTACATTCTAGCTTCCTGTCTTTAGTCTTTCTCTGGAGTAGGTGTACACGCTTCGATCTATATAAACGAGCTTAATAACCCTAAAACATATTAATGAAATGCTAATCTAAGCTGGGGCACGAAAGCATATGTATCTATATTCCTATAAAAAAATTGAGAAAATGTTAGCTAGCAATGAACCAAAATAGAAGATACTGTTCTTTCTAAATATATCTAAACAAATTGTTCAAGATATTAAATCAACGCACCATACTGCTCGATGCACACAAAATCATTCATAGAAACTGTGTCCACCTAAAAAAAGACCATTTTGATGGTCAAGTTTCTATCGCTTAATAACATAACTGGTCCATACATAATAAAAACAAAATTTAATACGGTTTCGATTTTTATAAGTTATCAAACATGTTTTTTTAGAAATAATGTAGATTTAAAGATGTGGCTGCAAGGCAAGACAAGACGGAAATGAGATATTTGAGAATCGAGGAAGAAGGCAATAGCACGTGAATTGAACCAACCAACTGATGACTGACTGGTGTGGCCATTGCAGCCATGTGGTTGCTATCTTTCTCTTCTTTCTTTTTCCAACCACAAATTTTTTCTTTTTTTTCTTTTAAAGAGGGCAATGAAAAACTAACATGTCCTTCTTTTTTCTGTCGCAAACTAATAAGTAATACTTTTCTTCTTCTTTTCCGCCGTATTGTTGGATTTTAAATTAAGGAAATCTAGTTTCGTGTCAATTTATGTATATGTTTGCATATTGGACAAATCAATTTATCTCAACATGTTATATTATAATAACAAATTACTAAATGATCTCATGTGTTATGCACATATTTATATAAGGTTATAAGATAATGCAATATAGTGATATATTCTTATTTAAAACTTCACAAATACTTTTTTGTTGTTCAAGAATTCACAAACCATCCAAAATTTATTTTGGTTAATCAAGATATAGCTATAAAATAAAATTAGTAAGAGTTTTAAATTTAATTTCATTTGCCGCATACTTTTTTTATTGGTTAGTTGTGACTAAAAAGAAATAATGATGAATTTAAACCTTCTCCCATCACCTTTCTTTTCACTATAAATAAATAACACAATAAATACTTTTAGCATAGTTTCCTCGTTTTCTCATCATCCAATGGGTTACCACATTTACTAGCGTCGTATTCGAATGTGACTCCTTGTCGCTTAATTAAGGAACTCTGGCCTCACAAATAATGTGCTGTTGGTGTGTCCAAGTTCTGTTTGTGGCTGTGGACTATTATTCTCTGTAGATTATGAATGGTTAATGAGTTAATGCATGGATTGATTAGTTGGGCTTGTCCAGTAGATCATACTGCGTTTAGTTCGTTTTTGGATGATTTTAGTCACGAAATATTCTTTGTACGACTGTAATATCATTGTATGTATGTGCAATCCATGAATTTTTAGGTCATAACATTTCAGCTGCCAAGATATGATGAAAAGGACATAACATTAATCAAGATCGAAAAAGAAATTTCACTGGCCATGTACGTTGTATTATCCACTTCGTAGATATATGTACGTGAACATTAGTTTAAGCAAAAAACATCCCACAAAGTTACAAAAATGGATAGTTATCATAAAATAAAACCCTGTTAGACTCATGATATTGTAAATACGATGCATGATAGAGAAATACACCAAATATTGAATTTACACGGAAGGACGGAAAACAAAAAGGACACGACAGGCAGTGAGAGTAGCCACATTGTGACATTCTTGACCTCAAAAAAGGCAGTTGAACTCATATAAGACTTGTGTGCCCATGTGAGAGTGATCTCTAACTGTGTGTGTGTATATATAGATTGATATCTATACAAGTGGCCACTGTATATGTGTTTGAGTAGAATGTATCGCATCTAAATTTGGCCCTACTCATAATAATCGCAAGCGGGTCCTAGCGTATTACCTATGATTAATGTATTTATAATGTATTCGTATATGTCAATGATCAACTAAGAAAATTCTTAGCCCTACAAAATCAAATGAATGATATATCATTGGTGAAAACTTTTGGTGATATACATCCCAGTTTCGCGACTGATCCATTAGGATACTGTTTCTCTAAATGTCACAAACCTGATATATTTAGTATAAAACAAACTAAGAGTTATTTTCTAAGTCGTCTTCTATAAAAAAAAAAAAAAAAAAAATTCTTCGTTTGTAACTAATGTTCGCCTTTTTCTAAGTTTGTATGGAGGTTTAAAGAAAAGAATTCTGGGGAATATTCTAATCGGTAGACGTTAACGCACAAAAATATATAGAAAAAGGAGACTTTGTGATAACCAATAACGTAAGTTCGTAAAGGGTCCTAGTCCTAGATTCCACAACATTGATTAATACGAGTGTTCATATACATAAGAATCAATATTAAAATAATATATTAGCGTAGTGTTTTCCCAAAAGCGACCTACTAAACAATTCATAGTTGGATAAATGAGTCTCCTCTTACAAATCTTATCCAAACTCAATCCACATATATATATGTCCATCAATATCTTATACATATAAAAAAATAGACACATGACACAAACCTTTCCACGGACGAAGAGGCAAGTCTGGTTAAAGTCTACCCAATGCCAAATTGGACGCTTAATTGATAGTTCTAAGATACATCAATTCAACAAAACCAAAAAATCATTTTGGGTTTTCTACCAAGAAGTCCAACTAAAAATCAAGATCCAACCAAGCTGTCTACCAAATCATATTACCAATAATTAACACTTATATGCCTTTATTTTCCGATCCAGTTTTCATGGTATTGT